CACCCCCGCACCTGGACCGCACCTCCAGCCCCCAAACCCCCAGTGCCCGGTGACTCCCCCAAACCCGGTGCTTCTCCAGCCTCATCACTCTCCCACTGCATCCCATGGCAGGCCCCACCGCCATTCCCAGTGCCCCCCAAGGCCTGGTCAGACTCTCCATCCCATCCCCTTCCCCATTCTCATCCCCATCCCATCCCATTCCCATCTCAAACTGGGACTGCAGCTGCAGCCCCCCAGCACCCGATGACACCCCTGCCCTGTGCTCTGTTCTCACTCTTCCCTCACCTTGGTGCCCCCATTCCCGGTGCCCCCCCCTGCTGCCCCACCAGGCCCAGCAGGACCCTCCCAGAGCCCCCCAAGGAATCCACATTCAGCATCCTGGTTTCTACAGCATCTATTGGCACTCTCCAGAACAGGGACCCACTCCTGGCATCCCACCTGCTCCATCATGGCTCAGAAACAAGGAGCACCCCCAGCGTGGGTAGGGTGGGTTCCCTCCACCCTGGGGGCAGGAGAGTCAGAGAGGTTGGAGAGGGAGAGGGGAGGAAAGGAGAAGGCCCACAGCAGCTTCCCATCCCCAGAAGGTCACTTCAAGGTCCAGCAGTGACCTCCCATTCCCAGGAGGTCACTCCGAGGCTCAGCAGTGGCATCCCATTCCCAGTAGGACGCCTCAAGTTCCAACAGCAGCTTCCCATCCCTGGGAGGACACCTCCACGTTTAGCAGCAACTTCCTGTGCCCAGGAGGACACCTCTAAGTCCATAAGCAGCTTCCCATCTCCGGGAGGTCACCTCAAGGTCCATCAGCAGCATTCCATTCCTGGGAGGTCACCTCAAGGTCCATCAGCAGCATTCCATTCTTGGAAGGACACTTCAAAGTCCACCAGCCACGTTACATTCCTGGGAGGACACCTCAAGGTCCAAGAGCAGCTTCCCATCCCTGAGAGTACACCCCGAGGTCCAAGAGCAGCCTCCCATTCCCGGGAGGACCCCTCAGGGTCCAGCAGCAGCACAGCACCCCTGGGAGGTCACACCCTGGCTTCCCACCCCGTCTCCTGGTGCGGTTCCCGCCAGGACGGGCAGCGGGGCGGCGCAGGGGAGCGGCCGGTTCTGCCGCATGTGGGTCCTGCGGTGCACCTTGAGGTGGTAGAACCTCTTGAAAGTCTTCTGGCAGATCCCGCACTGGTGGGGCCGGACGCCCGTGTGCGCCCAGTGCTGCCGGACGAAGTCGGAGATGCAGGTGAAGCTCTGGTTGCAGCAGGGGCACAGCATGAGGTGGCGGCCGGAGTGCCGGCGCTGGTGCACCGTCAGGAAGCTCTGGCTGGAGAAGTTCTCCAGGCACTCGCTGCATGTGTACAGCATTTTCCCAGGGGACAGAGGGCACCTGGCAGGGCTGGGCTTCTCCCACACCGCGCCACAGTCCCTGCTCAGGGCTTGCGGCTGAGAGGTCAGGCACGGTGTCCGACTGGGACACGCCTCTGGCTGATTCAGGGGTTGGCAGGTCCCATTGGCCACCCAGGCTTGGGGCTGGGATGGTGGGCACGGTGTCTGATTGGGAAACGCCTCCAGCTCCAAGGGCTGGCACAGCCTGTTGGCTGCCCAGGTTTGGGGCTGGGACGTTGGGCACAGTGTCCAGCTGGGACACTTCTCTGGCTTTGAGCCCTGGCAGGTCCCACTGGCCACAAAGATTTGGGGCTGGGATGTCGGGCACGGCACCTGGCTGGGACACACCTGTGCATCCAGGGGCTGGCACATCCCGTTGGCTGCCCAGGTTTGGGGCTGGGACGTTGGGCACAGTGTCTGGCTGTGACACACCGCAGGCTCCGAGGGCTGGCAGGTGCCGTTGGGCACCAGGGCCTGAGGCTGGGATGTCGGGCACGGCACCTGCCCGGGACACACCTGAGCATCCGGGGCCTGGCACGTCCCGTTGGCCACCTGTGTTTGGGGCTGGGTGGTTGGACACGGTGTCCGGCTGGGACACGGCTCCGGCTCCGAGGGCTGGCACGTCCCGCTGGCCGCCCAGGCCCGCAGGTGCCGCCTGATTTTCTTCTTGGACATGAAGTGGCGGTCGCAGTGCACGCAGAAGTAGGGAGCCGACTTGCTGTGGCTGTGCTGGTGGATGAGGAAGTTGATCTTCAGCAGGAAGTTTTTGCTGCACATGGGGCAGGAGTAGAATTCCCGGGTGGCATTTCGCTGGCAGGCTGCCAGCCGGCCCACGCACGAGTCCTTCTCTGGCTTTTCTGAATCTACTTTTCCTGGTCCTTTGGGAACGTCGGCCGCCAGACCTTGACCAGCATTCCCTGAATCCACATCCTCCTGTTCCAGCCCCTTCTCCTCTTCCGGACCCTCTGAGGATGTTTCAAGCACTAGTGCCTTTTCCACAGTGACCTCCTCCTGTGGCACCTCCATTGGGATCCCCACCTCGGTGTCTGCTGGGAATTTTTCACAGCCCAAACATCACTTTTCCACGTGGTTTCGAGGCATGAACAGCAAAAAGCTTTGCTCCCACTCTCACTCACTTCCCAACCCGTTCCCAGCCAGCACCCAGCACAAATCCCAGCCCTGCTCTCCTCTTCCAGCTCAATCCCTGCACTGTGCAAAAGCCAGGAACAGCCCCAGCTCACCCCTGCAGACACCCCAGGGGCAGTTTGAGGTGGCAAACACCACCCAGGTAGGACAAGGGAGTCTGAAACCACACCAGGGCTTGTCCAGGCAGGTGGTGCCCCATCCCAAATGGTTTCAAGGCTGGCAACTGGATTTGCTGCCAGAGCCCTTTCCTGGAAGCCCCAGGCCTGGAGAGAGCCCCAAGGGGGATTAAAGGTTCTGCCCCAGTACCTGCTGTGAGGGGAGGCGATGGAGATTGGTTCTGATCCACTGCTGCAGAGAGCGGGCAGGAAGGGGCTGGGGGCAGCTGGCTGAGATCCCCTGGGACAGCAGCTTCCAGAGGGATGGGGGCTGTGAGGGCAGGAGGAGCGATGAAGGTGGGTGAGAAACAGCAGGGCAGGGGCCCAGGACCCCTCACAGCAGCAGTGGGGTTTGCCAGGCACTCACGTGTGCTGCAGTCCTCCGGGACTGCTGGGCTCCCACTTTCCTCTGCTGGCTTCCCACCTTCCTCTGCTGACTTCCCACCTTCCTCTGCTGACTTCCCACCTTCCTCTGCTGACTTCCCACTTTCCTCTGCTGACTTCCCACTTTGCTCTGATGGGTTCCCACCTTCCTCTGCCAGTTTTCCACTTTCCTCTGCCAGGTTCCCGCTCTCCTCTGGCTGCCTGCAGCTCCCATCACCAGGCTGTGCTGCCTTTGCCTCCAGCACCCCATCACCTCTGGAGCAGCTCGGGCGGGCCAGCTCTGCGGAGGGCAAGGACACTTGGATTTCCCAGGAGTCAGGGAGCTCCAAGGAGCCAGCACAGGACCCCATCCCACAGGGCGTCAGGATCCCTCACACACAGTTGCTGCTGGGGCAGGGGGGGTCCAAGCTATCCCAATGTCCCAGCGTGTGTTCCCTGTGACCTCTCCCAGCACAGGCTGTCACAGCCATCACAGGACACCTCCCCATCCCTGGGAGTGTTCAAGGCCAGGTTGAACAGGGCTTGGAGCAACCTGGTGTATGGAAGCTGTCCCTGCCCATGGCATGGGGTTGGAACAAGATGAGCTTTAAAGTCTCTTCCAACCCAAACCAGTCTGGGATTTTGGGATTCTGAGTCCCTGGGGCTGAGGGCAGGGACAACCATGGTCCTGGTGAGCAGCCAGGAGCTCCTGGCATGGAAAAACCCCAGTGTCACACACCTACAGCCGGTTCTGGGGACACATCCACTGCCTCTGGCTCCGACTCCGTCAGCGTGCTCAGCTCTTCTCTTTCCAGCCAGAGTAGCAGATCAGGCTTGGACAGGGCACAGTCTGGGCAAGAGCAGGACAGACATCAGGGATACGATGGGACAGGGACTCTGTGGGTGCACCCACAGCCAGGCAACACAGAGCCAGACCCAGCCCAGGAAACTTCTCCAAGCGGGACAGCGACGGGAGTTACGGACACAGACAGGAGACAGCAGGCAGAGCTCACAGGGGAACATGGAAAGCAGCCTGGGACAGCCCCCCGGGAACAACGGCAAGAAAATCCATCCTTGCTCCAGCCCTGCATCACAATCCCTCATTCTCCCAGAAATTTACCTCAGGGATAGGAAAATACCCCAAAAAACAGGAATTGTTGAGGCTCCTGACTGAATGTTTGATCAGGAGCACCAGGACAGTGCCTGTCCCTGTGCTGGCACTGCTGAGACACCTCCCATCCTGGAGGCAGTTCTGGGGACTCCAGGTACAGGATACTGAGGGTCTGGAGCATGTGCAGGGAAGGGAAGGGAGCTGGGAAGGGGCTGGAGCAGCAGGAGCGGCTGAGGGAGCTGGGGGGGCTCAGCCTGGAGAAAAGGAGGCTCAGGGGGGACCTTCTGGCTCTGCAATCCCTGACAGGAGAGGGGAGCCGGGGGGGGTCGGGCTATGCTCCCAGGGAACAGGGACAGGAGGAGCAGGATGACAGGAAACAGCCTCAGTTGGAAGTTCAAGTTCGATACTGGGAAAATTCCTTCCTGGGAAGGGCTATCCAGCCCAGCACAGCCTGTTCTCTCCATCCCTAAAGGGATTTAAAAGCCACGTGGATGGGCACTTGGGGACTTGGGTCAGTGGTGGTCTTGGTAGTTCTGAGGGAATGACTGGACTTGATGACCTCAGAGGTCTTTTCCAACCTCAGCAATTCCATGATTCTGTGAGTCTGTGCTTCCTACAGCTCCACAGCCTGTCTCACTACCACACAAGGGTCTGGA